CCTGTCTGTGCTCCTGCCCTCTGAAGATGCTGGTCACGGATGATGGCGAAAGATTAGGAAACAAAACTTCCAGAACACGGCCACACAGCCCGGAAGACCCACACCAGCCAACTTACTATTATATCTGAAATTATAAGAATAATTGTACACTTTTAGAACATTGCTCTCAAGAACATATTTACATATAGTATTTTGAGTTTCAGTGCAATTTGCATTTTGATAAATCTGTTTGGGTTTGTAGCCTTAATAAACCTAATTAGTTCTATCACCAAAACCAGAGTCTTGTTGCATCTTAAAGACTAACAAATATATTGTAATATCAGCTTCTATGTGGATTGTTTAATTCATCAAGGTGGGCTCCAGAACATGAACCCCTGAGCCTTATTAAATTTGTTGTCTTAGTCACAATTAAAGATCCATTGAAATTAAGGGACATAAATCATTTTGACTTAATTAACACCCAGTAATTTAGATTAGATTACTTGAGAGCAGTCAAGTCACCTGTGTCCATGGCCTGTTGACTGGAGCTTCAACACCTCCTGAAAAAACAGGAAATATACAGAAGGAAAGAAGGAAATAAGAGGGATCCCTAAAATGGTAAAAGTTATGTGCTGGAAAAGCAGAAGGCAGTGCCTCTTCAAGGCTAAAGCCTTGCTGCGTGGGATGGCTGCAGCTACTGCTGCCATTCTAAATACCTTTTGTTTTTTGTGCCTTCAAGTCAGTGTTGACTCCTGGCAACTGCCTGGACTAGCCACTGCAGGTTCTTTTGGCAAGGTTTTCAGAACTGGTTTCATGCCTAAGACAGAACTCATAGTCTCCTAGTTTCTAGCCTGGACATTAACCACTACATCAAACTGGCTATCTCTAAATATCATGCCATCCCTATGTTGGAGCTTCTAGTCCCATAGTACTTGCATGAGCTTGCCTGTATGCTGGTTGGAGGGAACTTCCAGCTCAGTGACGCCATTCTCAGGCTTTTTCTTTCCATATCCAGTCACGCTGAGGGATCCCAGAAATTTTAAAATATTTTAAAGTCTCACCTGCACATTTAAAAACCCTAAAGGAGGCCATGTTCTGGAAAAACTGGCTGTATGGTAACTCTAAGACCCAATTTAGTTTAGTGCTTAAGGTGTTGGACTAGGAGCAGGGAAACCTGAGTGCATGACCTGCCTTAGGCATGAAGCCAACTGGGTGACTTTAGGCCAGTCACTCCTTCTCAGCCCCAGGAAGAAAGCGATGGCAAACCACTTTCAAAAATGCTGCCTAGAAAAATGCATGGACTTGTCAAGAGTCAAGTCTGACTCCTAAATGCTAACTCACTGGAAGTGTTCTACTGGAATGGAATATCTTGCCAGAACATCTTGCTTTATGTTATTTTTATTGGAGTTGTATATGTATTTGAAAATGCTATTTAACCTACTGTATAACCTGGAAGCTGTATCTTTGCAGTCCAGTTCACACTAGGGTGACCAAATACAAAAGAGGACAGGGCTTGTGCGCATTGAATAGTTTTGTAGAAGGGTCCATTTAATCATTAATGGCTTACCTGACATGTGATATTTGGTGAAACACTCTCATTTATACACTGTTAAAGCTGAAGATTTCTCTTCTTGCATCCAACCACTCTAGTTAATTCCTTGTCAGCAGTAGGTAATCTATTGCTCTCCAGATGCTTTGGGCTGCAAATTCATAAAGCTCTGCACTGGCGAAGGCTTGTGAAAATTGTGGTTTAAATCACCAGGTTGCCTATACTTGCTTTATGTTATGGGAATAGAACTTGTGATCCTTCCAATGTGGTACTGGTAGACAGTGTCCAGGTAGAATGGACTTTGGTTATGAATGTTGGTATTTTCAGTCCAGCATTTTCTGGAGAGTCCTAGGATTTCCAAACCGTGCTTTATGTAAAATTGATCATGGGGAATCACATGGCCAAAAGAAAAAAGGCCAATCACTTGCTTGAACCTTTACAGCAAACCCTGATGGAAGAACTCATGCAAACCTCCTATCAGTGTCTTAGCTGGGTTCCTCAGTAAGTATGTGCTTCCTCCACCATTTATCTCCACACCAGCCTCTATGTATACAAGTGGCAACAGAATATGCACAGAATTTTTTTCCTCTTATCCAACAGCCCACTATCCTCTCAGTGTCGCTTTTTGTCCCTTTCTTTTCCAGGTGAATATAAAACTAGATCAGTGTGTGAAAATGAAGAACTGAAACTGCACTGTCAAGAATCAAAATTTCTTAACATCTATTCAGCCTCCTATGGCAGGTCTGCACATGAGAAAGACTTCTGTTCAACAAAAATGGATCACCTTCCCCAATTTGGTAGGCTGACAAACCCTTCACTTAATCTCTTTATTCTAAAATCTAACTGCTATAACCATCTTTTTTTCCCCATGGGGAGAAAAAGACAGATGCACCCTTCCTGACTCCCAACTGCTGGGTGAGATCATCTGTCTCCACAGGGTGAGATATCATCAATATGCCAATGATACTCAGTTATACATCTCCATCCTGGGGGAAGTAAGTGATGCTGTGGCTGCCCTTTCCAGGTGCCTGGAGGCTGTGGGAGTCTGGATGGGGAACAACAGGCTTCAGCTGAACCCTGGCAAGATGGAGTGGCTGTGGGGTAATGGTCCCTCTGTCCCTAAGAATTTGCCATCTTTGGTTCTGGATGGGGTGGCGGGGTGGCCAGGAGGGCCTTTGCACAACTTCGTGTTGTCCCCCAGTTACAGCCTTTCCTGGACTGAGAGGCCCTTCGAACAGTCACTCATGCCCTGGTCATCTCCCATATAGACTATTGTAACGTGGTCTACATGGGGCTACCCTTGAAGAGTATCTGGAAGCTTCAACTGGTCCAGAATGTGGTGGCACGGATGATTTTAGGTGCATCAAGATCAGCACATATAACACCTTTGCTCCGTGAGCTACACTGGATGCCAGTTTCCTTCCAGGTCCAATTCAAGGTGTTGGTTACTACCTTTAAAGCCCTACATGGCATGGGTCCAGGGTACCTGAAGGACCATCTCATCCCCATCACATCAACCCTTCCCACCCTGTCATGCAGAGAGGGCATGCTACAGACCCCGTCTGCAAGAGAATTTTATCTGATGGGGTCCAGGAGGCGAGCCTTCTCTGCAGCAGCCCCTGCCCTTTGGAACACTCTTCTCCCAGAAGTGAGGTTGACCCCCTCCCTCTTAGACTTCAGAAAGAAACTGAAGACCTGGCTTTGTTATTATGCATGGGGTGAGGATGGGAATGGTCAGTTTTGGGGATGGCTGGTTCCCTAGTCCTACCTGACTAATATTATCTGGTTCCAGGCTGCAACAATACCACCATCGCTTGGATTTTATCATATTTAATCATTATATTTATACTGTACTATTTATGTTTTTATTGGTTTTAACTGTTTGGTTGTGAACCACCCAGAGCTTTCTTTGGAGCTCCTTGTGGGGGAGTTGGGCGGTGATATAAATTTGATTTTTAAATAAATAAATAAATTAGCATGGGAGTTGAATGCTTGTAGTTGTTTCCCACTTCAGAATCCTTGGAACTGAGGAACCATGAGGGTATGACATGGAATTTACCTGGGAAAGCCAATAATGGCTTCCTTATAATCATGTTGCTTCCATGTTGATTTTTTTCATGCACTCCTATCACTCTGTTTCTGTGTTACTGAATGGCATAAGGATTGATTAAATGGTGATGGTTTTACATTATAGTGGCTGTTAAATATGGACTGATTACTATGGCCTGCAGATTTTTAGCTTCCAAGTATATATTATCTCAAGAGATGATTTACAAGTAGGTCAAGATCTCCAAAAAAAGCTCTGCTTCAAATTCCATTTTATGTAGAAGTCAGATTGCTCTCTGCCTTGCAAAAAACCTTTCTCCCTGCAGCTTACATGCCTTGAACTGTCCTCTTCCTGCTGGCTCTTCAAAAACAATGCAAAATGTTGCTTACCCAAAGATCTTTTTACACTGATTTCACTTTGTTTTTATATAAAATATTTATATTTTTTTAAGTGCCTTGTATAGATCTCTCTGGATCTTAGCACAGGGCACAATAACTACCAGACAGATGCCAGATATGATACATTATGTCCTTTGTTCAGAAAAAAATAAAATAATCAGAGGTGAGGAAAACAAAGAATTGTGAAGACTAGCCAGCTAAAATACTAAAATCTGTCTGCCAAGTTCTGACTAGGAATCCCATTGTAAAGAATTCCGGGATTCAACTCAGTTAAGCACTCACTCCAAAAGAAGCAGCCCAAGCAAAACCTTTGGAGTTCCAGAATTGCAGCATGGTTGCCTTAGTCCAGTGT